TGCTGCAATTAGCCTCCGCCCAGTCGCCATTAGCCGTCTCGAGCCTCCGATCCCTCCCCGCGCCCGGCCGGGCCCGATTGTTTCTACCGGGCGTATAACTCGCGGCGGATCGGGCATAAAACAGACGCGGGACCGTTGTGTAACTTTCCTCTTTGGTATTCGTAAATTTCAACGGCGGCGCGGAGCGAAGCCGCGGGATTCGTCGTCGTGCTGCGCTACGGATAGTCTTATATCGGAGAGATTTACGGCGCTTAATTTCGGTCTCTCATTGAAACCGGCGTATCACTCTCTCTCGCGCGCGCTCTCGAGATTGAATAGCGGAGAGCGCTCATTGAAATTCTTTCCCGCGAATGTAGCACGGGAACGATAATTCGATCGCGCGCTCCCCTCGCGACGTTTCGAAAGTCCCAGGGACTCGCGCCGGACACGGTCAAAGATAAATATAATGGTTTGCTTAAAACTCTCGGAATGCCCGTGCACGCTCGCTTTAATAACCGCTCGCCGCGATTTACAAGCGTCTGTCTCCTTCCACGCTGTTTCCCCTTCTCGATTTTAATAATTCCCCGCGCGCGATAAAGACAAATTATCCCCATCATTTACTCTCTACGGCGTTGTCCAGAAAATTACAACCGCTCGGCGAAGATAGGCAGACACGCCGCGTCTCTCGCCGCCGCGCGCCGGCTCTCGCGGACGGAATCGCGCCGACGATTCTTCTTAACGTCACGACGGGCGGACAGACTCCTCGCGTCCTCTCCGAGGCAGCGGCCGCGTCCTACGTGCGGAACGACGCGGCGAAGGCGGCGCCGCACGTTTCGCATTATGATTTCAGCGCTTTGCTTTTAATTAAAATGCAAATCTATCGCCGGCGAGGGGGAGGGAACGGGAGAGACCGAGAGAGGGAGAGAGAGAGAGAGAGAGAGGAATCGGGAGGTAAGACGGATTACGTCTGGGGGCGGCACGACAAACACCGGAATATGATTAATTCAACGCAACCCCATCCCGGCGCAACGCCGTTGCCCTATCGCCACCCTCTAATTCAACCCCCGGCTCTATTTCCTCGCCCCGCGCGGCCTTATCGGCCTACGAAGTCCATCTAAAACTCTCCAACAGTTCTATCGAACGTCTCTACAGTTCTTCGTTTTCAAATTCTCTCCAGTAGAACTCTCCTTGTTTTCCCCATTTCATTCGCTTAATATCTTCCTTTGATTTCATGAATTTTTATATCTTCATACAGTGAAGTAAATAGGTGATTCACTGTCTAAAGTAAAGAGCTTGACGCTTCGATCGAACGTTTCTCGATTTCTTCGTTTTCAAATTCTCTGCAACAAAACTCTTTGCTTTCCCCATTTAATTCGTTTAATACCTCCCTTTGACTTCATGAATTTTTGTATCTTCACACAGTGAAGTATATAGATAATACACTATCTCTAAGGTAAAGAGCTCGAACGTCTCTGGGAACGAAAATAAAGAATACCTCGATTCGATAGACCATTTACGATAGATTAAATTAATCATTCATCTAATTCATCATCAACCTCTGTTCCTCAGCCTTATCACTCGCGAAAGCAGATCCAAAGCTCGTCAACGATTCGATAGAACGTGCTGCTCGTTCCCCCCGTTTAATATCTCCGTTCCGATTGAATGGACTCGCGTTTTTTCGATAGGACCGAGTAAATTAGCGTCCAGGGCCCGTCTAAACGGGCGACGTCTTTTTTAATCAGCCGGACGACTTCAAAGCGTCGTCGCGTTCGTTTTTCGAAGAGGCCGGGTAACGGGCAACGATCGAGTCAAAGGACAAACGAAAGACGAGACGGAACGAGGAGGACTCTTAATCAACTCCGCGGATCCACTTTCCTCCGAGGATATCCCGTGGCAGGGCTTATAATTAACCGATTCGCTTATCAACCCCGTGTCTCTCACTCCCCACGGTTACCATTCCTTCCACCGTCCGCAGATTCCTTCTTCTCCCCTCTCCTCCATCCAGATCTTCGCTCTTCTTTCCGCTCGACTCGGAGGACTCGATCCCCTGGATCTTGTTCCCGCGCGTCTCACCGTCGTCTGTCTCAAGTGTCGTTCTTTTTTGTGATCCACAGGTCCGGGACGGTTTGGGAAAACTGCCGAGCTGCCTACGAAGATATCGTGAAACATCTCGAAAGGTAGGAAAATTTGACGTACTTAAACCACCGCTGGGATGGGACTCGACGCGAGCGCGTGGGGCGCGTCGCAGGCTTCCTCGTGGACCTCGAACGACCGACCCTTCGCGTGACGTTTAAAACATAATCAGACGGAACGTCTCCCGGGGCTAATAATGCCTCGGAGATCTCTGCTTGAGATTCTTCCTCGGCTCCTCGCAAACTTCGGTGTTCTCCGTGCTTTAAGCGATTTTTAAACACCGATCGGACGTGACGGGAGACGTGTACAGATCAATACTCTGGGTTACGTCTACCTTACTTCTCGATAGCTCGTAGAACTCTGCGCCTAGAGTGCTCAAATTTCTAGGGGACTATCAAACAGGAACAAGATTACCAACAATCTACGATCAAGGATTTCTCTATAGTACTATCTCATAAATCCTAAAATTTCTACGAAGTCCTAAACTGCCCTAAACTTCAAAACGCATGAACACTGACTGCGCGTCAGCCGAATTCAAATGACACTATGTTTCACGGAATGGACGTTAATTTTGTTGGCGACGCATCGAATTTTGTTGGATATATGAGACATAAGATAGTTGATTATTAGGAAGAACCTTGTATCACTTTCTGGTTAACGAAGAAAACTGTTTCGAACACGGAAGTTTCAATGGTTGTTCACGTGGCGAAGCGTTAAAGATCTTTTTCTCAAGCCACGAACGGCCTCCGAATTTCCGAAAAAGCCATCGGGAACGTCCGCAGGCCCTGTAAAATCCTCAGTCCCGCGATCTCCGCTCGCGAGGCTCGCGCTCCCGATAAATCAGTATTACCGTCCGCATCGAGTTTCCGGTCGCGCGACACGTTGAGTCCCCGCTTGACGCCGTAATGCCCGCGTGATTTGTACGGTGCGAGCCACGCACACCGCCGATACACCGGCGTCCGCCGCCCCCGC